AACACCGACAACAACAACAACAACTAGTAATATCATCATCTCTAATTTATTCTCATACTGTCAGATTTTAAAGTCTGAATCTCCTGATTTTACTGTCTAAATGTTAAAGTGTTTGTTTCATACAGAACCGACAGCAGCAGAACCAACAGAACCTTCTGAACCTCCATCACCAGCTTGGTGTTTCCTTTGAGCTAAAGAGCTTCAGAGTTTCCTGATGATCAAACTTCAGCTTCGTGTTTTATTAAATAATTTCCTGATTCCTGACATTCGGACCTTGTCCTTCCAGAATCTCAGAACTGAACTGTTCAGTTGAAGGTTTCAGAAGAGACGTGTTGGTTAAAGGTTACTGGAGAACGTTCACTGGAGCTTCAACTAAAAGACAAACAAAACCAGTTCAAGTCCAGTCTGAGGGTTAACTGGTTCTGGTTACCAGCAGGTTAAACACAACAGACCGTTGTGTGTCTCCACATGGATTCTTCACATTCCTCCTCCTCCTTCAGCTCAGCTTCACTGCTGGACCCGTTTTAATCTGCTGGAGCTCCATCTGATCTGAACGCTGACGGCGTTCTGACCTCCGGCCCACTTTCTATTGTTCCGTAGTTTCAGACGGACCGTCAGTACCTCCGGCCCGCTTTCCATCATTCTGGCCTCATAGGATGTTTGTGAAACATTCTGATCATATCTCTGGCTGGAGATCAACGTGGTGTCGGTCCAGTTCAGAGACTGGTGTCGGTCCTTACCTGAGGTCTCTTCCAGGCGACGGGTCCGACGGTGTTCCTCAGGTAGAACAGTGAGCGGTCGCTGGTGGGGAACAGAGGATCTTCAAACAGACGTCCATCCTGCCGGCACTGTTTCCTCAGAGCTGAATAACTCTGACCTTCATACGGAACCATCTTCTAGAACCTGCAGCTTGACAAACAACAAGAGTCAGAACAAACCCAGCAGCTGAGTAACAACAGTTCATGAGAAAGAACGTCTTGGTGACGGAACACTGAAGGTCTCTTGAGAAAACAGACATTTGAGGAAACTCTGAACCACATTTGGACCATTTAAAGACATTTTGGACCAAACAGCTGATGGGTTATTTCAGTCCAGTTCTCCTCCAGTCAGACTGTTCTGAGCTGAAGCTGAATCATTGTGTTCTTCCTCCTAAATGTCATGTGTCTATCTGTTGTACTGATGAAGTTCTGAGGCTCAGAAATGATGGAAAAAGTCCATTAAAGTGATCAATCTGGACCCTCCTCTGTGGACTTCAAGGACCTGGACCTCTGGAACATTCACAGTCTGAAGGTAGAACTCTGGTCAGTAGGTAAAGGTTCTGCAGAACCAGAACCAGGAGGTTCTGAGGAACATTTTTTTAGATTTTTAAACTCCACTACTTCTGCCCAATACACACTGTGCTCATTATTTAATTTCATCTTTTTATTTTGAGTTCGTTTCTTTTTGCTTGTTTTTATTTATATTTCTATTATTTTGTATTTAGAGTTTACAAAGTTCTTATATTTTAGTTTTTTTGCACTGAAAGGACTTCAGACCAAACAGGATGGATAAGGAGGTCATGTGACAGGAAGACAAGCAGAAACTGTCAGTCCTCAGTGTTCTGTGATTATTACCAGCAGGTTCTGACTCAGACCCAGAGGTTCTGACATCATGTGATCCACTCTGTAGTTTCACTGAGGGAATCTGTGTCCGACCAGCTTATCGGCTTATTTTAACAAGAACTAGAAACTGCTGTGAGTTCGTCAGAGTTTGGAGGCAGAGCAGCTGGATCTGGATCCGCCCGCCGGGTCGACTCAGTGACTTTCATTGAAGTGAAGTTTGTAGTTTTAGTGAAACAGGTTCAGATCGAGACTCAGACATTAAACATTCAAGAACTGAGAGCAGGACGTACGATGGTGAACCTGGAGTCTCATTTGTGGGTTCATTTGCTGTTTTCAACCTGATTAGAGTTCTGGCTGTTTATGAGCCCAAACTGAACCACATCACACGACTTTGTCACTGAATGTGTTCCACTCTGGTCTCTGCAGGTTTGACTTCTTTAACTTGTGCGACATCGTCTAGATAATAAAACGATGCCAATGAAACACCTTCAGCCTCTCGTCAGGCTCCTGTCATCTGGAGCTGGTTGACGGTTTGACAGAAGTCAGCAGACGTTTGTGAATCTGTTGAGCCGAAGAGAAGAACGGCGACGTTCCAGAACCAAAGTTCTGCTGTTAGGGGTTCTGCCATTCAACTGCATTTATGCCTTCTCCAAGTTACTGCGGCTGTTTCACAGACGCCTCATCAGTTGTGGTTTCAGACGTGTGGAGTGATCACATGACCAGCAGCCAATCAGGCGTTGTTGTGTGTCTGTGTGTCTGTGTGGTTGTGTAGCTCTGCGGACTAACTTGGGAGTTTCCTCCTGAGGTTCCGTCACGCTGCTCAGATCTGAACCACAACACATGATGAAACAGCTGGTGGGTGTTTAAACAGCAGCAAAGGTTTCAACATCTGATGGCCGACAGTCACTTTGAATCAATAAACTCACTTTGTTCAAATACATTTGTTTTTTTTTTTTAAGTTTTTATTCTGCAAAGTCACAAAAAGTCACTGCAGAAATCAGGAAAACCATCCTTCAAAATAAAAGCCCCGCTAGTGGGTGTTTGTATGATCTTTGAAGTGCTTCTACCAAACCTCAGAAATCAGATCATGTTTTCGTCTTTTCCCTGCATCGTCTGGGCTCGCTCTCATCAGCAGACAGTTTTTAAGGTGTGTGAAGATATCTGACTTTTAAGTCGGGATTCTTTTACTGTCGACGCAGGTTTAACGTCTGTTTGTGAATCACTGCAGGAAGCAGCAGTGTTGTCTGTGAGCTGCTTTTCATGGATGTCTTCCTGTTTCTATTCTCTGCTCTGAGCGGCCTGTTGGCCACATCGTCACTGTAAATGAGAATTTGTTCTCAATTAACCCACCTGGTTAAATAAATACATAAAATAAACAGCAGCAACTTTCACACTGAATGTAAAGTTCAACAGAGGAGTTGAAGCCAGCAGTCAAACAGGAAGCTGCTTTTATTCTGACATCAGGTCGCTGCAAACAGAGAGCAGATCTCTGGTTGTTTGCAGACCGACAGCAGGTCACACGTTTCCAGACGAGGTGGAAGTAACGAGAGAGTCCGATGTATGCAAATGAGGAGC